CTTAAATCAAAGAAACCCCTAACAAATGAGAGACAAGACGAAAAGAGCCAGAGGTTTTAACACCCCCAAAAGCAATCCTCAATACTCATTCAGTGCAGCAATGACATAAAAAATAATATAATTCAATATGTTTGAGAATCTAATCTGCTCTTGTATTGCAGATAACCGAGCAACAAACTTAGTGGAACTTAAATTAACAAAATTGATCTCCATAAAGCGGTCGATGGCCACGCGTTTCATTGAGGTTAGTGAGTTATTCATCAAATCTAAAGATAGAATCTTCAGTTACTAACATCTAACAATACTAATTTACTAACAATTGTTCTTATCAAAAAAAATTAACAAAACCAAATCTTTCGATTCAACCCATGTGGCATTTCATGTGCCGTGATCCAGTAGTCACTTGTCGCTCCAAATGGCAGTCCGTGGTTTGCACTCTCAAGTCTTGAGTTTAATACCTCCACTAACACCTTTAACATACTAACCTCTAATCATTGCTTTTAAAAAAAAAAAAAACCATGCAAAAAAAATAACAAATTAACAGAAAACGAAGTTAATCATGATCCCATTAACATATAGTGCACACATTTTTCGAATTACGTGTTTGTGAATAATTATGGCGACGAAAACCAGACATAGAATATCATAATTCATCGGTTCAATGACTTGAAAATCACCAGGAAAAAGGAACACATGTTATTGCCTTTTTTTTTCTTTTTTTTTTTAATCGGACAGGTTATTATTTATTACCGCTTAGAAGTCAGACATCTTATCTTGACCTTGGAATTGAAGACACCAAAAAGTCCCTTTAATGCGAGGAGTCATAACCCATGAAGTGGAACAATTGACGCACCCAAACACTGCAAAAATAAAAGCCCCAAGCTGAATACAATGCTCAATAGTGCACCGCAATGCATCGTGGAAATTAGAAGACAATTGCCAAGCCAACTAAATCAAAGCTTGTGTAAATAATGGTGTGTTAAGGAACTGCTAATGGCAACACTAATGTATTGTACATGATAGAACAGCTAATTTTCTTCATTTCCACATATCATTTACTTTAGCATATGTCATATGTCTGTAAAGTTAGAGAGCCAAGCATTCTTGAGCAATCACTAAAATTAAATGTCCTGTTACTAAAAAAAGGCATTTTCATGTTATTAAATTAAATTAACGTGAGTGCTATTATTAAGAATGAAGGTCAGTGGCTTTAATATCATGACTAACTTTAACGCTTATCTCTATGCACTATGTTAGAAATCCAATTAAGTTTTTGAATCGATTCGGAATCGGGTTTTGCAGGTTTCTTGACAAAGTAGCAGTGAAGACAGGAGCAATCTCACCATGGTTGCTGTGTCCAGTGACACAAGTGGAGCAAACCAAGCAAATGGTAAAAATGGTGCCAATCCTGGTTGCATCATTCATGCCAATTACCATGATATCTGAAGTGGCCACATTGTTTGTGAAACAAGGAACTACTCTGCACAGGAGCATGGGTCCGAAGTTTGAGATCGCTAGCTCCAGCCTGTCTTACTGCATTTGTGACAATCTTCATGCTGATCAGCATTGTTGTGTACGACCGCTTCTTTGTTCCAGCCATCAGAAAGTACACTGGAAATCCCAGGGGAATCACATTGCTTCAGATAATGGGAGTTTGCCTTGTGCTGCATGTCATAATCATTCTAATTGCTTGCATGGCTGGAAGGAAGAGACTGAGTGTTGCGAAAGAGCACCATATTTTTGGTAAGACTGACACAGTTCCTCTAACTGTGTTCATTCTCCTGCCTCAGTTTTGCCCTGATGGGGGTAGAAGATAACCTTGTGGAAGTAGCAAAGCTGGAATTCTTCTATGACTGGGCGCCGGAAGATATGAAGAGCCTTGGAACAGCATATTTCACTAGCAGTTTGGTGAATGGGCATTTCCTGGGAAGTTTGATTCTCACAACAGTATCTGATATTACCAAGAGACATGGACGCAAGGGCTGGATCTTGGATAACCTGAACATCTCTCATTTAGACTAC